GGAAATGCAGAACGGCAAATTGTCTATAGGCAAAAATTTATAGATTTACTTACAGATGTGCGCAAAATTGACCGACAGTTTTATTTTCAAGTAGTTTTCTCTTTCTACGTATTCTCTCAAATTTAAAAACCAAAATATTATTTCGTTGGAGTATTAATCAAACAAACTCGAACATTAAAAGTGGAATTGTTAATGCCCCCTTTCTAAAATTTGTATTCAAGTGGCATTATTTATTCCCTGACGTGGTTTTTAGGCTTAAAACTGCCGCTTCAAGCTTCATAATTCCTCTCACCAGGACAATTGTGAGTGGGGATAAATTTGTTTAAGGGAAAATATTATCTGATGATAGCATGTCGGATAAGGCCCCTTTTATTTACCTTTTGATAAACTGTGAGGTAATGCAATCTGATGGATAAAAACGCAGACTATAATCTTATTGGTCAGTCAGTTAGCTCTCGACCAATATAGAATTATAAATTTATCTTCTAGACAGTTACCACTGTTACAAGTAAAGTTATATCTGAAGATTGAAGATGAATAATCTCGGCCTTTGATGACGCAATAAGTCTCAAAGTTGTGGTGCACTAAATTTTGAAATTTATTTATCTATAAATTTGCTATGATGATTGAAGTTTATTAAATTTGAAGTTGAAGTCAAGTTTCCAACAAAAAAAAATCAGCAATAAAGTATGGAACAAGCCAAGGTTATTTGAGAGAGGTAGGTTGCCATAACTTTATGACGTCATCTGGGGTGCCTCAAGATAATACAAATAATAATAAGGCACTCCAGATGCGTCATCAAGTTACCCATTACCAGAAAACCTATGAACTTTAGGAATCTTGGGAACAAGCCATCAAAATGTCTGGATTTTTAAATTCAGGCAGGCCTAACTCGGCCTAAGATGGCCACAAACGACGTCTCAAAGACTCGTATATTACAAGACACGACTTCACAGACATCTGCCTAAAAACATCTTCAGACTAATATTTCATTATCATCACTCATTTTATAACTTTAAATTTTTGTCTATTCCAGGGGTTAGGCTCTCTGAAATCATTCTGATGACGATGTTCTCTGAAGCCTTTTAAAATGCTGCTGGAAAGTGTTTTGGAACGTTCTAAATGGCTTAATGAAGTTCTAAAGTATTCTAACTTGACTTGAAAAGTTCTGGAGCATTCTTGAAGTTTTTTAGTAATTTAAATTGCTCTGAGAGATTTTAGAGTATTTTAGAGCGCTATTGAAGCTCCAAAGTGTTCTAAATTGGTTCAAAAGAGTCCTGAAACGTTTCCAGTTCTAAATTGAATCCTAATTGTTCTAAAATAACTCTGAAGAATTGTTCCAAAATACTCCTGAAAATTCTGATTTGGATTTGAACTGTTTTGGATGCCTATTAAAAGTCAAGTTCTACAGCAGCTCTGTTCCAACCGACATGAGAACCGTTCTCGAACGGTAATTTCCAGTCGATCAATTCATTTGTCGAGTAAGATAAACGTTTATAACTTGTTGAAAAATAGGTGGTCAAGTGGAAATTACTGGTTGGAACGGTTCTCATGACGGTTGGAACAGAGTTTAAATTCGCCCTTCAGAGCCTTCTGGAAGGCGTTTTGTAACTTTTAACCTAAATCCTAAGATTCTGGCGCTTTTCACAATGTTTCTGGAGATTCTAGAGTGCTTTAGTGTTTTGGAGCGTCCTATAAAATGGGTTTCAAACTTGTGAATAGGGAACTTGCACTTTTTTTTTTATTGCAAAAATGTGTTGTACTACACTAAAGACATAGTCATGCCAAATATCAAGCATTAAAAATCAGCCGTTAATTTTTTCTAAATATTTGAAGTTACGCTCGAAACATCGCCATTTAAAACGACCGATTAGTGTGACGTCACTCAGCAACAAAATTCCGTTCACAGTCCTTGGTTGACAGTGACCTGCGAGCAGGTAGATTTAGATTATGGTTATGTTGTTATGTATGCCGTTTATGATAGATTTGACATTGACAACACCAGCAGCACATGGCGTGGCAGCGGTGCGACCCGATTATTACTGCCCTTTGACGTCAGGACCCATAGAAATACGTTTTTGATCTCGTCAAGAATTTCGAATTATTTGGTATTTTCAATTGAAGATTTTGAAAACCAGAGATAAGATATTATATCCTTTTCCTAATTGCATCATTTATTAGGATGATTGTTATTGTATTTTATTATTTATTTCATATTTAATTTAATGTGCAAGTTCCCTATTGTTCTAAAATGCTTTTGGAAATAGGTTTTTGAATGTTCTAGGGCATTCCAAATTGATCTGGAGCGTTACAGAATGATTTTGGAAATTCGAAATTGAATTTTAAGTATTTTGAACTTTCCAAAATGCTTATTAAAATTCTTGAGTATTTTACAGTAGTATTCTTAAATGGTTTCCAGTAACTTCTAAATTGAATGAGGAACGGATTCTGTGGAAAATTTTTGTAGACATCTTATATGGCCATTTGCACCGCTATCACTTAAGGGATGTTAAGGGATAGGTATTTAATTTAAGTGGAGCTTTTGAATGTGACTTTTGTTTCTACGAGAGTCACATTCAAAGCTCCACTTGGATTAAATATCCCTTAAGTTATAGCGGTGCAAATGGCCGAAAGACGTCCCTAAAAATGCAAAGATGATAGCCACCAACCTTGATACACACCTACAGAATTGCTTGTAAATTTCGTTTTTGGTAATCGCCGCTATATTGACCATTTCAGTACAGATTCCTATGACAATTTGCTCAGAAAGTTTTAAATTTGACAACAAAACGATTGGTTGCCCTCCAGCGTGACGTCATACTAAAATGGTCAATTGGTATGTCACCATTTGGACGTCATACTAAGGGCAGGTATTATAAAACTGCTTTGACAGTTAACTTGAAGTTAACTTTTTGAATTACATGTAATTCCAGAAGTTAACTTTAAGTTAACTCTCAAAGTAGTTTTATAATACCCACCCTTAGTCGTCAACTGTTTAAACAGCCTACATCAAAGCGAGAAATAACATGCTGCCTACGTCACAACTGGGGATTTTTCTTGGTGAGGGAAGGGGGGATTTGTCTTGGTGGGGGTATGAGGATAGGCTATTCACGATTATTTTGTTTTATTAAGGATCACTTAACTAAATTGTCAAAATTCTTGGCTTAATGGCCACTTATCGTTAACTTATAGTATATTATGCAAATGATCATGTAATGATAGCCATTAATACATATACGAGCATGTTGTAGAATACGAAACGAGCCGCAGGCGAGTTTCGTATATAACATGCGAGTGTATCAATGGCCATTACATGAGAGTTGCATACACTATTTTTTTCTACTTCCGCAATAATAAACGAAATACATATTTATTTTAAGAATAGTAAACTTTTCAACTGGTGGTGCTATCTATTGACAATTTCGAAAATTAAGACGTCATTTGGACATAATTTCCGCACCTGGATTTATCAATTTTTCATTGTTTGTTTTGGTAGATACTAATGGCGTTTCCGATTGGTAGATTGAGTGAGCACTGAGTGTATTTGCATCCTTTTAATCGACCTGTAGAAAAAAAAGACAGAAATAGAAAAAATTGCACTAGTTCTGCACTAAATCTACCAATCGGAAACGCCATAAAAAACAATCCAAAATTCCAAAACAAGTCTGGTATTTTTATTTAAACATTGTTCATGTTCAAAATAACTCGATTCCAGTGGCTGAAAAATCTGTATCATAATGAAAATTTTTATCATAATCATTGATCATAATGAGGTTCATTATGAAACAGATTTTAATCGTTTAATAAGCGTATTATGAAACGTAAGTAGAAAAAGTATCTGATTACGCTAGGTTATGCGATGTGTCAATTGTGTCATACTCCCCTAACTCCCTCACCATCCAATTCTGGGCCTGCGAGTGACGTCACTATCAGCAGCTTATAGTGATGACGTCACCCGCAGACCTCCATGGAATGCTTGCGATTCAGGCCCTGCTAGTGAGTTAATTAAATTGTGGATTTTAAATGTAGAAAAGGTGATTTTCGCTTAGACTTTTCGGTCTGTTCTCACAGAAGAAATTAAGTGTTCTTGATCCTCGAGTATCCCAGAATTTGATGGTGGGGGAGCTAGGGGAGTATGACACAAATGACACATCACATAATCCACCAAAAGATTATGCTTGGTGATCCTCGCGAAAAATTGCCTAATGGATATTATGTGGCACAAGTCTATCGGCGGTATTTACTTCATGTCGTACATTGCATGTTTGTTTCATTGGTGTACCACCCACAAGCACTAGTAGAGTCGGGAAACACGTCTCTCCTTATTTAAAAACAAGTTAGTTAGCAAAGAAAAGGATATACAGAGGGTGGCTCGAGCGAAAAGATGACAACCCTTTGTGACCCAGTACAAAGATTATCTTTGGTATCAACATAGTTGATGCACTGATGTAAAGTAGGTTTTTTTTTTAAAGATAATTCCCCAAGTCAAAAATTTAGTAACCTTGTTGGCAGCACAAGCCTTTTCTACATGAAAAATTTCAAAGCATTGACAATTTTACATTGTATTGCCAACATGTCATTTTGACTTTTATCTTGAAAAAAAAAACAGACTTTATCAAAATCTACAGTGACTATTAATCAAAATCAGATCATAATTTGCCGCTTAGTGCCATCTATTAATATCGAGCTCAATGATAGACGAATTATCACGCCGATTACTTCCAGAAAGGAAATTTCGTGCATCCGCCATGGTGTCCAGAACATTGTAATTGTTCAAATTGGAAAAACTCACTTAACAGCATAGCGAAAAATTACTTGAAATTTTAAATAGAAATAATTTTTCCTTAAGCCAGATTAAAATAAAAATATCACCTAGACTTATTAAAAACAAACACATCATCTATACAGAATCTCCTTAATCCCTCTGCCTTGTCAATTTGATAAAATTAAATAATTTATTGCACTACCGTTCATTTTAAACTTTAGTTTCAATAAAGCTTGCCGACATGAAAATCCTATTTTGTTTTATTTTATTCCTTATCGGAGGCCATTGCGCCAATATCCTGATAGTATACGAAACTGCTCGTCGAAGCCATCAAATATGGATTGGAGAATTAGCTGAGGCTTTAATCGAAAAAGGACATAATGTTACTATGGGTGGATCATTTTCTAGAGCAATCGATCCTAGTAATCAATATCACCCTATCACATTTGAAGGTAATCTAATATACAAAATTGTAATTATTCAATAAAAAATTGTTCCAGGTATATTCCTAACTCATTACAAAATCAACAAAACCCGCCACTTACAAGCAAGCGTCTTAGAAAACCTATATTTGAATTACGAGTATAATTATGCAATTTGTAATAGGACTTATCAGTCGAAGGGTTTTAATTTTTTATGGAATTATCCGGAAAATTTTAAGTTCGATTTGATCCTTATGGATTTGACTTTTGGGCCTTGTCTTTATCCTTTGAGTCAGAAATTCGGTAGTCCAACTGTAGGGTTTACTCCTTCAGGACTTAGTCCGTATTTGTTAGAGGCATTCGGGAATAACCATGCGATTTTTGAGTGAGTATAAAAAGTGAAAAATTGCGTATAGTTGATTGAGTAACTGGTTTTTCTAGATTGCATATGGATCAGTCTTTTTTCTCAAGGCTCACAAATTTTCTCTTGACGAAATTTGAAATATTTTTCAAAAAAACTTGGGAAAGAACTACTCTTGAATATCTAGCCAGCAATGCGCTTAATGCTACATTTGACTTTAAGAAGCTAGAAAATTCCATATCGTATCTCTTGGTCAATGAACATCCATTACTAAACATACCAAGACCTTTAGCTCCAAATATAATCCCTGTTGGAGGGTTGCACATTAAGAAAACCGAACCATTACCTGGAGTAAGTCAAATTAATCCACTCATATAAAACTAATCCCCTTTTCGTAGATTTTGGGTTCAATCATTGAAAACGCCCATCAAGGTCTGATTTTCTTCAGCTTGGGCACCGATATCCAACAAAACATCTTCAGCAAGGAAACCAAAAAAGCATTTGCGAAGGCTTTTATGAGGCTGCATCAGAAGACTGTCATTTGGAAGGACAACGCTGACGAGCACCCTTACGGAGAAGGCGTTTCGAATATTTTAATGCACAAATGGATGCCTCAGGGTGATTTACTGGGACATCGTCATGCTGTGCTTCTGATTACAACCGGCGGTAGTATGAGCGTTCAAGAAGCAATTTTTCAAGGTGTACCGGTCGTGGGAATACCGATTTACGGAGAGCAGCACGGAAATGTACAGTTTATTGTTGATAATAAGTTGGGGCTTAAATTGGATTACGATAATTTGACTGAAGAGAATATTTTCGAGACTTTGGATAGGGTTTTGAAAAATCCAATGTAAGAATGCGTTTGTTTTTTGACTTATTGGAAATGAGTTCAATTTGTTTCAGTTACAAGGAGAACATGGAGGCCTTATCGAGAAAATTCAGAGATCAACCCCAAAATCCGCTCCAAAAAGCTTTGTATTGGATTGAGTACTCTTTGCGTCACAACTCGACAAATTTCCTCAATCCTAGATCCAGGTACACTTGCCCTTGGATAGATCATCCTGCTGATGTACAATTATTTTTATTTTTTGTCTTTCTGTTAAGTTTAACAATTATTGTTTTGAGAATTTTGTGGTGCAATAATGGTTCTAGAAACGATAAGAAGAAGAAAGAATAATAAAAATAAGATAGTTATTCAACAGTTAAAGTACAGGATATTCCTCAATAAACTGATACATTTTGCAGGTGAACATTTTGAAAAGATGGTAAAATGCGGTTGGTTGTTATGGCCCAATAAAAACTGTTCTGTTGTTAAATTTCTGAACAAGCTGGCAACAGTCGTAAAATAAATGTAGATTTTTTTGACAGTATGGTGAAGCAGTAGGTGAAGAAATGTAAAAAACGGTTTGGTATATTCATTACAGAATCCTGTAATTATCGATGCACGAGGAGCTGTGAGTTAGACACGGACTCTGGCACAGAATGCTCTGCAAATCTTCGTCTGTGTTTTTAGTAAAGCGACGATAGATCGCGCGGAGCTCTTTCCGGACGAATAAAGTATAAATTAACCTTAGACAAGGAAAGAGAGGGGACTCGTAACACAGCAGGTGAAAATGAAGCAGTTTGTCACCAAAAAATGTCTGCTTTTTTCATTACATAACCTAGAAAGCATATTGTTTTTTGCCTGTTAAATTAAATCTAATCCCGTCGACTTTTTTTTCTCTGCGGGTTTTGCAGCATACGCCAGCAATCCACCATACTGAATATCACAAAAATGTTAGTCTGAAGTAAAATTCACATAGTGGCACCATGAAAAATTGTCTCCATTATTTGGTGACAAACAGTCACAACCAGCTGCTAGTGCAGGTGATGTTACGCGTCCTCTCTCTTTTCTTGTCTAAGAAATTAACGGTATAAGAATTATAACCTATTTTTCTAGGAAAAAATTGAGTTTCTCTCCCTAGGTGAATATTGAAAATAATGAAAAAATACCTAGGTCAATATTGAAAATGACGTCATGACGCAAGGATATTGTCATGCTTCTATTGGTTTAATTATAATTTCATACGTCAATTCAAAAAAAAAAACAAGTTTCCCTAGATACATAGGAAGTTACCATACGCTGTTGATAGAGGGCAGCACTTTCGAGAAGGCGTTCAAAAAAAATAATTTGAGCACAGATTTCAAACCATTTTTTCATTTTCCACTAGCAGTCAGTGTTGCCACAGGCTCTGAAAATTTCGTGCCAGACAATTAATTTATAAGGGGCCAAATTTCAGATTTTGGGGCAAATCCTCCGCAAATAAAAAAGAAGTGAGAAAGGTCGGCGCAGGCTCCGCCGGAGGCAGACATTTTTTTCGGGTGCCACGCCCAAAAACGCTTATTTTGAATAAAATAATAATGATTTGGCTTGTTATCGAGAAACGGGCCAGATTCGGAAAAGAGTGGCCAACGGGCCACTCCGTCTTAGAAAGGGCCAGATCTGGCCATATGGGGCCACCTGTGGCAACACTGCTAGCAGTAGTAAGAAAAATTCTATATATTCCTCGGTAAAGAAAGTCATTACATACATTACGCAGCATAAAAGCGCTCGGTATATAATGACCAACTTCTCTACCTACTAGGTATATAATATACTATTGTTCCATCATAGTTTTTGAGTGTAAGCTTAGCTAAGTAGTGTCGTAAAGCTTGTTACGACGTTGTCATTGCATTTTAGGTGAAAGATTTGAGTAGGTACTTTTCGTTTTTGTTTTTACACTAGTCGTTACGTTTTGTGGTCGTTACAATGTTATCTGTCATTCGTCGCTTCCCGCTAATTTTTATAAGATTATAATAATAATATTAATAATAGTTGTTGCTGTTGTCCGGCAGAGCTGGGAGTAACGACAAAGAAAGTTACTTTACTTTAACGAATTACTGAAAGTAACGCTTTACTTGGTAACTTCGTTACTTTTCAGATTGATTGATAAGTAACTGTAACGACGTTACTTTCCTGAAGTAACGCTGAAAGTAACGCGTTACTAGTTACTATGAAAGTAACTCGTTCCCTCAATTTGTTTATCTTCTTTACAAATAATTGACGAGTGAAGAAAAGGAAAATAAGTAATCCAAAAACTTTGTATGTCAAATAAAATGTTGGTAGTACAGAAAATTTGTTTTGAAAGCTCAAAATAATCGCTTTTGGGTGTGCCACGCGCCGCCTCTGCTCTAAAGACACTATATGCAGACACTGGGACGCTTCAAAGAGCAGGTTTGTCCACCAAAACCAAGTGCTCTATTCAGTCGCTTAATCCTTAATCCGTTTGAATTTTGCAAGAATACTAGCTCTTCCACTCACAAACTAAAAAAATATTGGAATTTCGTATAGGTCTTATTTGATTGTTTGGACTGCTGTGTTGCTGAGTCAAATTAAGGAATAACGCAATTTTCGACGTAAATAGTTATTTTTAAAGTAACGTGTTACTTTAAACGTAACGAACTACTTTTAAAGTAAAGAAGTTACAGTAATGCGTTACTTTCCAATAAGTAACGAAAATAAAGTTATCATTATTCGAAAGTAACTGTACATTTTAAGTAACGAGTTATTTTTAAGCAAAAGTAACTGTAAAGTAACGCGTTACTTTTTTCAAGTAACGATCCCAGCTCTGTTGTCCGGAATAAGTTGATTTCATGGAGCAGAGGTTTAGATATTCTTGGTTTATACTGCATTCTTCATTGTGTGTGAACGAACACGAAGGTGCCTATAGAGCAGCGTGGAGTTGGAAATAGAAACAATCATGGAGAGTATATCCAAAAAAAGCCTGACATCAAATTCATCATAATTTTTTCGGTTATAAATTCTTCTGGAGAACCCATCTTCTACCAGGTCTAATATTTCGAAATCATCAAGAGTATTTTCAAAATCTATATTTACTTTTAAACTCGAACAAACACAAACACATAAAAATACGAGACGAAATGGAGTATGAAATTAGGAAATTACTGAGATAAGCGATTAGGTTATTTTTTTTGTTACCCGAAAGGAAAAATCTGAGCCGTTTTCTCGCGTCCACTTTTTTCAAAACAGTTTTGAAACGGGCAATGGTGTCAACATTGCCCGTTTCAACGCAAGAAAACGGCTTTGATAGCTGCAATGAACTATAGCTAAAAACTGGAATGTGCACACATTGCCATATCTGCCAAAAAAATGAAGCCATGAAAGACAGATGCCACAAGGGGGAATGTTGTTTTTTTCTATTGCTCGTTTTGTCATATTTCCCTTCACAGGTTTCATCAATTGGAATATTGGATTTGGATAGCTGTTAGCGCAAAAGGAAAATTCAATATGGCATGGCTGCCAAGCAAGTCTGTTTTAAATATGTTTTTATGCGTATTTTAAATTATTTTGCTTAGAGTTTTGCTTGCAACTTTGATTTTGATTATTTGATAAAATATTTGTTGACTAGTTGCCTAAACTATTAAATCGGGCAGAAATTAGATATTTTTTTGTGTTTTTTGGCCCATGTGTTGCCGCCACGCCATCGTGAGTGTCACGTGGCTTGGATTGCCTAATGTGTATTAGCCTATCCAAAACATGTGACAAGCAAACAAAGGGATGTGTGTTTATTGGCGGAGATTTTAATTTAAGTTTGACAGCATCTTGGATAGTCTAGCCTACAGTGGCTAAATAAACCTTCTTAAGGCCGGGACACATCTATCATACATTCTTCCGATCCGACTCCGATCATACAATCAGGGTTCTTATTCTTGGAACAGGGAGCAGTGTTCCCAGACGTACTCCTGGAAACGCTGGTCCCCTGTTCCAAGAATACGGCTCTTGATTGTATGATCGGAGTCGGATCGGAAGAATGTATGATAGATGTGTCCCGGCCTTTATACAGTGGCGACAATAGAGGTCCCGCCGCCATTTTGTGCCCAACCTCTTTGCTACTTTTAAATATATGAATATTTAATTTTTTTTTCTTTTAAAGGCTGTAGAGCCAAAAAATAAATAAAAAAACAATATGTAAATTATGATGTCAATTTCCGTACACTTGTAGGGTACCTAACACGATCGTAAAGTATCTTTTTCGCACTTGCTAGGTGAATAACTATTTCCTAAGCTCGTTGCACTTTTTCTCCTCAACAATATGGCATTATCAAATTTGAAATCCAACGTTTCGTTTTTGGACAACCATCGGCATCATGAACTTTATTTTTGAAGTGAAACTTCTTAAGCGGCGGTGTGATATTTAGACGACGATGAAAAGTGATTTGAAAAACACAAAATATAAAAAACTGTATGATTATTCAAAAACTGTACATAGGATTGAATGGTTATTATTTTTTTTTACTCGAGAGAGAAGAAAGAATAGTATATTACATACCGAGGTGGGAAGTGTTTCATTACTGTCGAGAGATTAGTTAGTTAACTGAGACGCGAAGCGTCGAAGTTAACTATAATCTCGAGGCAGGAATGAAACTTCCTACCGAGGTTTGTATACTATTTTATTTACAACAATTACAACCCTCATAATTTCGACTAAATGCTAAAAAAAAATTAAAAATTTATTGACTAGTCCTGACTCATTTAAAAAAACGTTTGACATGCAGGACTCGTCTTAAACATTTTTAGGAGATGAGAACTTACTTTCCACCCGGGTGGAAAGTGAGCACTTTCCACCCGGGACCACTTTCCACCCGGGTGTAAAGTAAAATTCAAAAAAGTGTCACTTTCAAACTTTTGAAAAGTCAGAAATGTCAACATTACGTATGTGGTTGTAAATAATAGTATATTACATACCGAGGTGGAAAGTGTTTCATTACTGTCGAGAGATTTTAGTTAGCCGAGGCACAGCCGAGGTCTAACTAAAATCTCGAGACAGTAATGAAACTTTTCACCGAAGTATGTATACTATTTTATTTACAATCATTCGAATTTTGAAATTTTTATTTGAAAAAATACAAATAATTGACAATTTCATTTACTTTCGGCCCGTGGGCCGAAAGTAAAAGTCAAAAAAGTGACATTTTCGAACTTTTTAAAAGTCAGTAAAGTCAACATTACATGTATGATTGTAAATAAAATAGTATACAAACCTCGAAAGGAAGTTTTCATTTCTGTCTCGAGATTATTAGTCAATCTCGACAGTAATGAAACACTTCCCTACTCGATATGTAATGTACTATTATTTACAAGCACACCATTAATTATGATTAGTCAATCAATTTTTTTAATATCATAAAAATA